CACACACACACACACACACGTACAGTAAAGTGAGATTATCTTCGCCTGCCAGGTTTATTTGTGAAGATTTAACCAGATGGATCCATTAAAGTGAGATTCGTCACAACAGCCACTAAAGTTTATTGGAAAGTGTATCACTCAATTTAAGTGTAATTATTGGGTAAAACAATCATCAACGGCCAAACATCTGCTCCTGTTCACACCAGGAGAAAATACTTTGTGAAAAATAAAACCAGGCTTCAGAGCTTCAGACGACCCTGAGCTTGGTATTGGGAGGAGGTGCACATTAAGAATCAACATTGAATCATTCAAATGAAAGATGTGTTTGTTGACCTGGGCAGTGGATGAAGGACCAGTTGTATTTGGCCTCACTGGGACACATGCTGACGTTGAGGGCCGGCTGAGAGCTGGTGAGCAGACCGGGCAGGGTGGACGGGGCCGGGACAGACGTCTGGAAGGGCCCGCGGTACGAGCCCTCGATGCACTGACCTTTGCCCGTGTTACTGGGGTCGGTGCACCAACCGCAGCCCGGCTGGTCCAGACACTGGCCACAGGTTCTGTACCCGGAGCAGTTTTCCGCTGCAGCGAAACACACGAAGCAGAAACAGTCAAAGACTATACATTTCAAAAAGTGTCGACAGAGACATGTAGGAAATAGTTTGAGGGTGTAGATAACCCTGAATATATTTTTGTTGTCGATGTATTTGTATTAATGCTCCTGATAGATCGCTTGAACTCCTATCAATGAAGGCCATTGTGCCCGGAAAACTTAAAAACATAAGAACGTAAAGTCCAATCATTCTGAGCGTTTCAGTTCGTAACCATCTCATTCCTGAGCTTAGCTTCTCCGTCGATGCCTTTGAGCAACAATTTGTACTTAATTGACCTATTCTCTTCTGCACCGTAGCAAAACCGTGGACCAGCCACGGGCTTAGTTATCAAACTATCATTAATCTCAACTAGTGGAGGAGCCAGAGTTTAATGTGCTCGGCTAAACGAAGATTAAAACAACCCAAATGTTTAAAACTTGCTCTGCTCCGGAAACCATCATTGTTTACATGAAACGTCGCCGTTTAGTCTTTCCGAGTCCGATGAAGACACGTATGCTTGAGTGGCAGAAGATTTCAGATTTGTGCTTTTACTTTTGTGTACGTATTTCTTACAATTCATAGATTGCAACTCAAATGAATCCTCACTGAAAGGAGGTTATACGGGTTTATTTGCAACACTTTCACACATTAGACAGAAAGTGGTTCTCTAAGGTGGCAACAGCAATTTGCAGTAAATAGTGTGAGAGCTGGGTAACGGGCAGAAGGAATGCAAAGAGAGATTTGTGTTCATTTTCAAGTCAACATTTTATGTTTAATCATCGGGCTTCCACTCTGGAGATGCTGAGGCCGAGGCTGCAGAGCAAATATTGCAGAGCTGTTCTCGTGACGACATCGATGATTCTCAAAGAGAAAAAATAATCCGACAGCAGAGACGAGTAAAATTTCATTTGATTGGTTTTTAATTTCCGTGGAAAGTTTCTCAAAATGACGAATGTCATTTGGTGCTAAAGTAAAACGTCCGCTGTGAATAATAAATCATTCATACATTACTGGAAACTTTATCCTTCGTGTATACATGAAGAAACATTTCACTTATTTCTATGTTCATCAGATATTAATTCAGAAACTACAGCCCCGGAAAATCGTGACCAAGAGGAGGTTGAAATGAAAGTTTTGAAAAAAAACAGTTGAAATCGTCTCTAAACTTCTTCGCAAGCTCAAATTAAAAGTAGAAACATTACAACACTGATCATATTTAAATGCTCAGCGCCGCTAATATTAATAAGGAAGGGTGATATCCTGCCTCTACAGAACCCCTCGCCACAGGGCTTTTAAATAACATCAATAAATAAACTATTTTAAAAACCCTGAGTTTGCATAATGCTGTGGTGTGTTTTACCCAAATCCTTCCTCCTTTGTCAGATTAAAGATGAACATGAGAAAAAAAACAGAGCAGCACAGCAGAATCAGAAACCTTACGTGGACAGGAGCTCATGGTGTACCACTCCATACACTGTCCGAAGGGGAAGGAGGCCACGTAGGCGTTGGAGTCGACGCACTGCTTCATGTTGCTGCACCACATGCACTCCGAGCTGCTGCTGCTCGTGCACTCGCTGCAGGTGGTTCTCATGGCGCACGGCGTCCGGCACTGCTTGGCGCTGTGGTTGGCTGTGGGAGATTGTTTATTAACGATGTGTCAGATGTTTCAATGCTCAGAACAACTGGATCGTCTTCATAAACTGAATTCCGGTACAAAACAGCAGAAGTTCAGAAACCAGACAGGCCTCCTCCGTCCGCCCCATCGAGTATTTCTGCAACTTCACATTTTAAAATACGTGTACAAATCTTTCTCCACTGCTAATAGCTGTGCTGCACTCAATTTAAAAGCAGCTGGTGGTGGTTACATCTGCATTTACAGAAGTGCTACAGCGATTTAAAAAGACGGCAAGAGACACATTAAAATCAAACGGTCCAAACTGATGCAGGCGAGGCGGAGACGTCCCGACACTCAATATTTGGTGGTTGTGTATTTCCGTGAGTGTCGTGTAATGAAATGGCTTTTTGCAGGAAAAATCGATTGAAATTACCTGGTCGTTCACACAGGCTGCCGTTCACCGGGTTGATGCAAGTCTGAGCTTTCAGTCCGCTGGACGCCGGCTCGGCCAGGTACCCACAGAACCCGGCGTCACTGGGCTCTCCGGGCAGCCACTGCAGGGTGGTGTTGGTGAAGGGAGACATGTCCTCCCAGCACCAGTACGACACGTTGATTTTCCGGAGCCCCACCCACGGCGTCACCGAGGCCTTGTACTGCGGACGAGCAGAGGAGCAGAGTCAAAACAAGGTTCTGACTGGATTTACCCGTGAGGTCATCACTCCATGAGACTTTTCCTTTTCTGTGATATCGTGTTCACGGAGACGCGAAGGACGGACGACCCCAAAAAAAAA